GCAACGAAAAAAAACCCTTTTATTAGTGGGAAAAGAGCCCTGGCAATGATAGACATAGTAATGGAAGGCCTCGGGGTTAGAGGAAACTAAAAACTCTGGTCTCTAATTTCGTCTCTCTCTGAAATACAACTCTTGGTCTCTAAAGGGAGCACTGCACTATTATGAGMTTTTTACACCAGAACTCATGGAGAAGTCTTTTAATTAGGCCCTTCTGAGATGCAATTTCTTAGGCAGGTTCTTAGACATCCGATTTAGAAGAAAAGGTGCAATGTTTAGAACTTTATTACAGAGACACAATGAGGGACACAATCCTTATACATCATTCARTACAATTCTAGGTACCAGGGAAAAAAGAGCAGGCTCACTAAGAGTGGAAGGAATGCATGTATTACTGCAGTAACATCATAGAACATCATAAATTTTGAGGCACATTCTTGACAGCAGCTTTGGAAGAAAAGCTCCAGTGCATAGAATCTAATTTATTACAGAGAAAAAGTGAGGGATCCAGTCCTAATACAGTATTTCAKACAATTTAAGTTACATCATGAAAAAAAGGAGACTTAGTAAAAAGTGGATGAATGCAAGTACTTGGGTAGCAACATGATAACAATTTATGCTTCTAATAAAAGCCATAATTGAAATATTACAAGGAACAATGCTCAGTCCAGTTAAGGGATACAGAAGGAGTCATTTGTGGAGAGACACGGAAATGTTACCACTGATGAAAAAAAAGTCCAAGAAATCATTTTCCTCAAGGCAACCTTGAGCTCCTTATTTCTCATGCTGTAAATGAGGGGGTTCAGTACTGGAGGCACCACTGAATACAGAACAGCGACCACCATATCCAGAACTGGAGAGGAGATGGAGGGGGGCTTCAGGTAGGCAAACATGCCAGTGCTGACAAAGACGGAGACCATGGCCAGGTGCGGGAGGCACATGGAAAAAGCTTTGTGACGGCCCTGYKCAGARGGCATCCTCAGCACAGCTCTGAAGATCTGCATGTAGGACACCACAATGAAAAGGAAACAACCAAAGGCTAAACAGGCAGCAACTACTGCAACCCTGACCTCCTTGAGGTAGGAGTGTGAGCAGGAGAGCTTGAGGATCTGRGGGATCTCACAGAAGAACTGCTCCACCTCGTTGCCTTTACACAGGGGAATGGAAAATGTGTTCCCAGTGTGCAGGARWGCATTGAGAAAGCCACTKGCCCAAGCAGCTGCTGCCATTTGGACACAAGTTCTACTGCCCAAGAGGGTCCCATAGTGCAGGGGTCTGCAGATGGCCACAAAGCGGTCATAGGCCATGACTGTGAGGAGAGAAAATTCAGCTGAAATGAAAAAGGAAAAACTTAATACCTGTGCAGCACATGCCAAGTAAGAAATGGTCCTAGTGTCCCAGAGGGAGTTGGCCATGGATTTGGGGACAGTGGTGGAGATGGAGCCAAGGTCGAGGAGGGAGAGGTTGAGGAGGAAGAAGTACATGGGGGTGTGGAGGTGGTGGTCGCAGGCTATGGCTGTGATGATGAGTCCATTGCCCATGAGGGCAGCCAGGTAGATGCCCAGGAAGAGTGAGAAGTGCAAGAGCTGCAGCTCCCGCCTGTTAGAAAATGCCAGTAGGAGGAACT